AACAAATTTCAATACAATATGGTAAAAAACAAGCATCACAGCCAGATAATGATTTGTTAATTTTATTTATTTATTTTTATTCATAAACACTAATCAGCTTTACGAAATAATTACTACTTCTGAATTTTCACGCTTCACAGTGATTGGTTAAATCCATCTGTCACTCACTCATAGAGCGTGACGGAAGCTGATTGATGTGTGTGAACATAGAGCTGTATTAAACGGAGACAATTCCACATAGCATTGCCACATGGAATAGATCACAATTCGACTGTTCTCGCCCAGCCCAGTGAGTGACAAAGACTCATTACTTTATAGAGCTACAGAAACATTTTAAGAATCTTTTTGGGAGTCGAGTGGCATTCATTCCTTTCGATAGTATGGATTAAGATTGTCTGCTCTTATCACTTGAACAGCGCTCCACACCTTGTTGTTTTAAAGCATGCCTAGTTAAAGGTTAACTACAAAGCCAAGGCAAAAACCCTACAGACAAAAGACTACAGACTAAACTGGGGATTTCCTCATTCTACTGCCTGCACTCGTGATGCTCTCTCACCCCATGTGTTTTTTTTGTGTGTGTGTATATGAGTGTTCCCAAACATACAAGCAGGTCAGATTAAAGCTGCGTGATATATGTGGTTAATATTGTGGATTGTCCAAAACAGGAACGCAGAACATAATCTCTAACTATATTATTTATAGAAAATGGGTTCGAAACAATGGGCTTCTGTTTGGAGTCTTGAGTCATGTGGCAGTCTGACCTTTACATTGCACATGTTTGAATGTGTGCAGCTGGGATTTCTCACTATTTTCCCACACTAAATGATTAGTGTGTATACAAACAGACATATGTTATGACACAATATACAATGAACATGAACTAACTAATGACAAAACTCTACAATAAATATTTTAACCTACAAAATGATTAGTTTGTATGAAAAGTCAAACTAAACACCAGGAAAGATGAGGGCAAGGTGAACAGAGGAGAGATAGGATGTCTTTTTGTTCAAAGCACAGTATTTTTTTTTTTTTATTAAAACCCTAAAAATAGAAGCTACAGTTAAAGTATTTGCACTTTTATAATGTGAGGGGACATAGTAACAGATGTGACCGAGGTGAGACTACACTACACAATAGGGGTCTACAGTACAAATGAAACTTCACAGCGCACACCACATTCCACACGCCACATTCATACCAAAGGTTATTTCAGTGATTGTTGTCTTGGTGTCTACAAAGAGCTGGACATGTTAAAGCTACAAAACAAAACTGTATTCATGTTTGGTAGGGTGACATTAACAGGAATAAAATGTTTACACTAAGTGTCCATTATATTTGCAAATTACTGGCAAGTCATAAATGAATGTTGCTTTGGATCCAGAATACATACTTCTCCAATACTTTACAAATATGTGAGTCTGGTCACAGTTGAATCTCCCCAAGTTCACACGGGCATGATTGACAAGCAGGGACACACATGGTCCATCCATATCAAAATAAATATGACTGAATACAGAAAAAAGAGGGAAAAAATATCACAGGGGACTGTAAAACATTGTGGATTTCTGCAGAATCAGTGCACACAATACACTAAACTCTGTTAATCTGGGGTGAGAGAAATGTTATTTCATTCAAAATGATAGGTGACCATTGAGCTCCTTCATATCAGAGTGACAAAAAAGCTGACTGCATGGTAGTGTTTGGGCCTGTCTTGAGTGGGATCTATCTGTCTGTATTCAAAAGGGAATTGCTAATAGTTAATTCAAGGCTACTGACAAAGCAGTTTGTAAACTTGCAGTTGACCAGAAGACCATGAGTGGATAGGAGAATTAAATGAAGGATGATCATAGGCCAACTGATTGTGTATGAATTAATTAATTAAAAAGATTCATTTTGTAGAGCACAATGGAAAACAAACTGAAAACTGTTTGTGTGTGAAGCATAAGAGAACTTCACTCCAGTTAATCGCCAACCTGTTGAGAGGGGTGCCACTTGCCCAAACCAAAATGGCCACAAAGGAATGGAATTAAATAATCAGTGCTTACAGCACATTCCAGACAAGCTTCCACAAGCCTATATTCAAGTCATGAACAGGTGCTCAGCAAGGACCAAACTGTCAATAGTGAGGACAGTTTACAAATCTATTGATACAATGGTCCATCTCATCTGAGTTAAACCATTTGATACCACTGTACATCCTCTAATCTTCATCTAGGTGAGCCAGAGTTTAAATTATGTAATTCAGGTTACATTTAACTAAAATACGATTGTTAGCTGTTATCAGTCCACTTCCTTTGTATTAAATAAATAAAAATAAATTAGTTATGGGCAGTAAAACCTACATCAATAACAATGACAATATACTTTATCTAATAATTACTGGCTTTGACAATTATTCAAATTGCACATTTAAGGAATCATATAAAAACAATTTTTTTTATTAAATTCCATTAACATAACCAAAACGTCTCCCCAGATAAATGTAGCTCTTACTGGTAACAATGGAGATGATTAATGAATTAGTTACTAAAACACCGGCCATGGTGGCCATGTCTTTTATATTATAATTTAGTGATTTGGGTCTCCAGTATAGATGATTATCCAATCAGAAATCTGAACGAGCCTTATGAGTGTAAATTGTCCATATACTGAGAAAAAAAAAAAGTTAAGGTACTGGCAACCCAGATTCAGTTGTGATTGTAAAATAAAAAATAAATTAAGAGCACAGTCTACATACAGATCCTTTAAATTGTGTTAAATTCAGATGGATCCATATTTACTCAACTCTAGATGATGATTTGATTGTAACATATGCAACTCAAACACAAATGTGTTTTATATTTATATGATGACTAATTGTCCAATTCTCTCTTCCATAAAGCAGTATCTTCTTCCTGTCCTCCTCTCCCTCGCTGTGCCCTGTGGATGTGCCCTGTGGATGTGCCCTGTGGGTGTGCCCTGTGGGTGTGCACTGTGGGTGTGCTCTGGCCCTTGGTGGCTGCCTTCCAGGACAAGCTTTGGATCAAATGCCCTGCTCCACTTCATGAGCACTTGCTAAATCAATAGAAGGCACACAATGACAATCTATGACACAGTAATTACACAAAAGGAGCCACACATATACTGTAGCCGAATCATGGATCTGTCTCTTTTGGTGCAGATCAAAATATCAAAGATTATAAAGCACTTTGTTACAAAAGAGAAAGCCTGCATGAAATTAAGAATGTGGAAAGAATGAACATCATGTAACAGATTTAGTCGGCTAGAATAGACCGAAAGAATCCAAGCACATGAAAACAATTTGCATTGTCTAGTTCATATTTTTTCTTTTTCTTCTAAATTTACTGTTCATTGTTATATTACATTTCATGTTAAACCAACTCCACTATAGTGACTGTAATGTCTTACATGGATGTTTTATAAAAAAGACAAAATTGCACATTAAGGTTTTGTTTATCACACCAGATTAAAACTTGACACTATATTTTATGTTAAATACAAGCAGTCAGGAGAGAAAAATGACATCCAAATAAGTGACTGGGGATAACACCAATGCCTTTAAAACTGCTCTAATTCTCCCAATTAGAGTTCCCTGACACTAAAAGCTATGGTGGGACACACTCCATGGGGCACAAATTACACATGGCTGTTTGCACACAGTACATGCACACATATATATATGTATACAAGCCCATCGCTCATGCATGTAAGCAGATACAGTGGTCCACGCCTCAGGCTGCAGGTGGGGGAAGGAGGGGGTCACATCACACTGCCTGGGTCGAATACAAATACATGCTGACAGAAATGCTCCTGTAGTCTAGTCATGGAGCAAGTGGAGATAGGTTTTGATGTGGGGGTTTCAATTGAGAAGCAAGTAGGTCTAACAGCTGACTATAAAATGCTATAGTGATGGTACCATGTTTTTTTTTCTTAGCTGACATCTGATATTATCCCTAGCTGCTGATTCCTACAATCCACATTACATTTGAAAAATAAAATAAAATAAAATAATAATAATAATAATAATAATAATAAAAATAAATACATAAATATAAATATATATTTAGCTATTTCTATTTAAATATCTTTTGTGATATAATACAATGTGTTGTCTTATATATAATTATTGTGTAAATAAATATACAAGCTCCTCTATATATGTGCGCTTCTATTTTGACTGGGAATGACAAATTGGCACACACAGATTAGGCAAGCTTAGAAAAAAATTTGACCAATATGTCAGAAAAATGTGGAATATTGATCTGATATAATATACAAATATTAACCACTCCAGGTATTCAGTCAGTATCTGTATAACTACTGTCGGTGTCAAAATGCTGACGGAATACAAGTTTAGGTCTTTTTGGAAGTAAAGACTTCACACAACCTATATACACTTGGTTCAACATCACAACATTCACCGTCAATACTTGGCCAGCAATGGAATCATTCATAATCTAACAAACAACGGGAAACAACGGACAACCCCAAATATCTCTCAAAAGCAGTTCATTTTTTGTGACCCGCAACTATGATTCAGATCAGCAAGCATTTCTGACTCCCACTTTCTTACACAGTATAAATGAACAAGCCAGACCAAATGAGTAGCTGACCTCACAGCCTGGCCTGGTCATCTGATTTGTGTTAGCACGCTGCCATAAGTCACACAGCCAGCTTTGTGCAGCGCTACTACATCTAGGACACCACTGGAAATGGACGGACAATTTCAGCATGTCATTTTCTGCTTGCAAAAAAATCTCCTTGAAGGTTAAAACAAATGTCACGAGTCGAACGGTTATTAGGCAAGCTGCCTTGTGTTAAACTCAGCTATGAAAGATGAAGATGGGGCAGTAGACAGTACCCAGCTGCCATGGAGCAATGAAGCATTCGGTGATCACATTTCAAATCACTGCTAAAGAAGGCTTGACCAACCAAAGAACTCAAGCAGATCAGCACACAAAAGGATCAAATGGGATGTGAAAGCAGGAAAAACTCACCAGTCATTGTCAGAATTCTTCTAAGCGACCCAAGCCGAGAAATAGACAGCGGAGTGGACAGGGATGTTAGTAGCACTAGCTGTTCTCAGGGATTCATTTGGTCCTGTTGCAGATGCAGACAGCTCAGTCAGTGCCTGCGTTCTGACTCCTACCTCTCTCTCTGCTGCTGCTGCTGCTTTAAGGAGAGGGGTGGAGAAACGCGGCTCCCTCTATCCTTCTCTTCTCAGTCCGCACACTGCATGTCCTACTTCCTGTCTCGCCTCAGAAATGGGACACAATCTCCAGTATTCAAAATTGCCAGTGAACAATGAATCAAGTTGAAAGTCATTTTTTTAAAGCTTTCTTCTCTTCCTTTTCCCAATCTCAGCTTCTGTTGCTATCACTGAGTGGACTGCACCTCCCATTTGTGTGTCCTGGCACGGGGAGGAGCCTGCATATGCTGTTCATTGGGGGGTGGGGGAGTCACGTGTGAGCTTGTGTGCGGTGCAGCCTAGCTTGGCCCTGCCCCCCTGTGTTATCCAGTGGGAGTGTGCGCACTCTTTGTCCTGTCAACTGTGGAGCAAGTATCTGCTCTTATTGTCAACCACTGCCTGCTGCTAGTCTGTTGTTAAGCCATGGACACTCAAGCTGTGTGGGTTTTTTACACTGAAAAACAGGCCACAGTTTGGCAAAGTGACTAGCAATGGGAGAGAGTGAGAGGGGGAATTTTGGGTGGGAGGGGTTTGTTACGCTCAATTTGACTTGGAATTGGTGGTCTGGCTGGGGTGAAACCAAGGCTATTTGCAGTGTGTCCCATGCAGCCAGAGTGTACAGGCACATGGGGATAAAGGCCCAGTGCAGGGAGGGGAGGTAAGGTGGAACAGCTGGAGAAGCCTGGTCCACAATCCTCTAATCTAATCTTTTTTTTTTTTTTTTTTTTTACCACCATCCGCTAATCTGCTCCCAGTGCGCGTCCGCAGTGATGTCACCAGATATGACATCACCGCAGCCTCACGCACTGACAGATGATACACAGCACATCAGGGACTGTAGAGGCAAACTGATCAGTCAATGGGCTATGTGGGTGTGTGAGTGGAGGAGGTGCACAGTAGGTTTCAATGATGGATCAAATGACGGTGTGACCAGGATTTTTTTCCCCTAAAGTGAATTCAAAATGACAACAAACTACTTTGTTCTTTTGGATTAGTTCATAAATGATATATCAGATGTACCAGATCTTAGAATAGCCAAGACTAAAGCCAAAGCATTAAAGAGCTATTATGCTCGAGTCTGCTAGCTATTATTTGTTGACACCCCTTGATCATTATGTTATAATTTGCATATTTTAAATCTCAATATTAATCTAAAATTACTTAATAAAAGAAACAAGTTTGTCAACTACCTTAGAAAATGGTGGTGTCCAATGGGAGCCTGACGTTGCTGTAAACATCATCACAACTCTGCTGGATAGATGCAGACGCTAGCTTTTTTCATTTGCATCAAAACAACTATGCAGCACTGCTGAATCTTGCATGTATCACTCAAAAAGAAAATTAAATTGGTGAAAAAAGTAAGCAGAGAGCAGTGGTTGTATGCTGGTGGCAGTGAAAACAGGTTGATTTTGTATAATAATACTTCTTTAAACCTGTCTAAAGTCACCATTGAATTTACAGTGACTGCATTTCTGTGAGTTGCTGTGAACCACCATCCACCTGCTCCCCATCACTGGTCCAATATTACAGATGCAGAGAAGTTGTATAGATATACTGTGTAGTATCTTGAATATAAAAATTGTGGTCAAAGAATGTTCAAGTATAATGCTTTAGTTGGAGGGATGCAAGACTTGTTTCGCTCTACAAATCTGTCTTGGAATGTAATATTTAATACAAAGGAAGTCCTGTAAAATGTATGTGCCTAATAATAAAGTTGCATTACAGAAGGTAGTTTGTCAGTGTGAAAGCCCGTGTCAGGCCAGCAGACAGTAGTAGTGAGGGCCACATTTGGAGGTACTGAGAGAAAGCAGACAGTGAGACAGGCAGCCTGGCACCTCGCACTTAAATGTTTGTTTCTAACTAGGTCAGACTGAAGACGCAGAGCTGTGCTGCTGTTGGGCCACATAATGCCCTCTCTAACTCGGCTGTATGGAAATCACAAGATATATAAAAGCAAAGGAAGTGAATTGGCTTGTTTCTACTCGTAAACTCTTTTAGACCAATATTGCGGACCACAATGAAAAAAAACACGTCATCATTCCATACTAACAAAATATTCCCCTCCAAAACATAATGTCTTTTAATTAAAACACATAAGACAGAGGACCTCCTTTTAGGCACTGATGCTATCTTGTGATGGTACGGTATTTAGTGTCATTACTCAAACCTATTGTAAATGTCCTTTTCCGATAAATCACATACTAAAAAGTTGTAGAAAATAAAGACATTTTGCATATGACCATGCCACAGTAAACTACCTGTACTACAATAGTTATATAACTATGTTCAACATGTAATTGTATGAATACAGTTCATAATGAATAAGGCAGAGTAGGTGAACCAGGACAAGGATGAATGAGTGCTTGCATGCTTACTGAGCAGTCCTTTGGAGGGATGCACAGGACACTGCTTTAATGCGGCCCTTGGTATTCCTGTCATGCCCCAGGCCCTATCCATTACAGCTCATTACCTCAGGAGAGATAGAAAGAGAAAAAGGACCAAACTCCAGTAGGGTTAAACTGCGACACAGCATCTGAAGCTCTTCAGCATCTTTGATTTCAAGACGTCACTCAGTAATAATGCATCTGTGTATTATGGGACAGTGCAGAACAACTGTATGCAACAAAAGTCCCCGCAAGACATGGAAAATGAGACACACAGTGATTATATTTACACGAGTGTGGAGTCAGATTGTACATTTGCATATAATATCTATTCTCTAACTGCAATGAGAACAACATAGAGCACATGAACGGTTACTTGTGTGTTGTTACTCATTACGAGCTAAGCATTTTGTGTATGTAAAATATGTGTGACACCAAGCTCATTTAAAGGTAGCCTTAAGCCTTTTTCAAAAGCAGGAGTAACCTTGGAGGAACAACTAAACAATGTAATTATTTCAGGCAACCAGCAAAAAGACAATGCATCAAGACAAAACTTCAGGTATAAATACTCAGCTCTGTCCTTGAAGCAAAATAAAACCATATCCAAAACTTTAAATTATTCCACATGTAAGATGTACATGTATTGCTATATAATAAGTATTGTGAAGTAAAATAATAGATAGACATTGTAATGGCTAAATTCAGTTTGTATAAGACACAGTCTAATATTGCACAGTGGTGGGTAAAGTCAGCTTTGTACAACATATTTTGACCATAAGTGCTGTTTGGTCTACACCACATGCATTATCAGCCCGATGCATTGCAAATGAGATGACAGAAGGAAAGGATGCCAAAGCCAGGAGGAGGAGGAAGGCAAAGATGGACTCTCTTCCTTTTTCACTAATTACATCTTTGTGACCACACCACATCTCACTAAAAGACCATTATGTAATATCTGAAGCGGAGACCACAGGCAAGGCATTGATCCTTTGTCATTATTGTAAAAAGTACAGAAGGTGGACAATGGTTAACATCCCAACATACACTTTCATCATTTCCATAAAATTTTAACAATGTTTTTAACTGTAATTAGCTGGATGCAGTCTGAGTGTGTGCCAGCATTGGCCTTACACAAGAAGACCAAAGAGCACAGGTGTACCCAAACAAAGTCCAGAGGAGGAGGGGAGGTGAGGGGAGGAGTTGAAATGAGGGGGAAGTGAGGGGAGGTGGGACTAGGTTGTTGCAGATGGGAGCTTTAAATTTATAATCAATAATTTGATTTATTGAACGAGGTTCCGGCTGTGCCAATTTAAAAAAAAAAATCCCCAGCAAACAAACGTTAAAAATACATTTCAAAGGGTATATTTGGACAGCATTTCCGCTGGACAGCGATACCCAGGTGGCACCTGGACAGTCAAATGGAAAATACTATAGGCTTTACTTTGTCAATAAAGTGTTAACAGATGGTAGGAGATAGCCGATCTAATGCCAGGAAGTGCAGGTGAAGATGTAAAGGTACACACGAAGAAGGGGAGGAAGAAAGAAAGCGGGATATTACAGTGCGACCACCTGGGGAATGTTTAGAGAATTTAATAACTCTAAATGTCATCACTTTATTGGATTTATGGATGGATGTCTTCCTCTGCTCTCTCTGTGCTGCACTTTTTGCACACACACAGTTTCCATCACTCCCACCTGCAACAATTACTACAGAGTCCCCAATGGTGCTCTTTTATGGGAACGTGACAGGAGGTCTTGTACTGAGGGCTCTTGGCTCCTGCTGTGGGTAGATATGTACAAAGCAAAGCTATTACCAACACTGCGCTGCCTTACATGGACATGGCATGTAGCACAATGGTGCATAGTGTGTAATGGTTTGAGAATAGATGAACATGTATTTTGATGAAATAGTATGTTTAAAGCTGTATATAAAAAGAGTGACCTATATGAACTCATGTATTCCAATAGTTATCACAACTTGATAACTATTTGTCTAATTTGTCCAACTTGTCTAATTTTTCTAAATCACATATACTGAATAAAAACTTGTTATCACTGTACTATTCATTCTCAATTTGATACAAAATGAAATACTCACTACTTCATACAAATTTGAATACCACAATGATGATTATAGACTGCTATTTTAAATGCAAAATAATAATAATATTTCTTCAGTAACATCATGTGGTCTTACATGAGGTCTGTTCTGATATCAATCAGTTTCATTGAGAAAGGATCTATTTAGTCTTTTTTGCCCATTTTTTCCAGTATTGCTAATTGCTAATTGCTCAAATGTGTAATTACCTCAAATACCTGTGGTATCGATTAGTATCTGGGTATGATTTTTTTCCATATTTGAGTCAAAGTGTTTTGTCATTATACATCTGGACACAGAAGAGATCAGATGAGGATGGAGGAATCGACACACCTTACAATTCACACAAACTCAGCACAACACAAACTCACAATTCAGCATAGCACTTAATACAACCACCAGCTAACTGAGACATACGCTGCAGACTGAACAGACTGTTTGACACAAGTGAGAGAGGAGACTGACAACACACAGCAGCTAAGCTAAATAATTATGCAATGGATGGTTTGGGATAGTTCATCCATCTGCTAATGTACTGTGTTATGGAGTGAGAACATGGACGCAGTCCTGCTATGTTACACAAGCAGCTTTCCATAAAAATGTATGAGTCATTGGCAGGAGCTGCTGCAACCCAAATACAGACATTATCTCAAATACATAGGAGGACAATGACAGGCAGACGGAGTAGCACTGTCAGTGGTTTTAACAGTTACCAAATCAAAATTGTCCAGTAAAGGTGTACATAAAAAATAAAAATACCAAGCTGGAATCAGAAATGTTTCTGTTCCTTACAGAAGGCTTGACAGACAGCAAGCAGCGTATGAACTAACAGAGAAATACCGGAGTGGAATTGTAAACTTGTGAAACCAACAACTATCCTAAAAAGCACCTTTACTAAACATTTTAGCAAGTTTAGTCTAGAAACAAAAAGGTTTAAAGTTTGAGACTTACATTGCCTTATGTTATAGTTAGCTTTGGGATAGACTTGGTTGCTAGACTTGGTTGCAGAAATGAAGAAAAAGTGATTTTGTGTTCAGTGAAGGTCAGAGAGGTCACTTGGGTAGAATGTCTCTGTAAGAATGGACCAGGCCAGTTAGATCTCGTTTCTGGAGTTGTGCTTATTTTGCTTGCTGACAAAGGTCCCTGCACAGCCAAACTCCAATCAAAAGCTGAATTATTTGTAAATGAGTTGAATTTGACAAAAGAAAATATCTTGCATGCTAATGTGTGGTTATTCAACATGATTGCTGAGGCAGTGGGTTTGATTAATGCAAATGAATATTTCATTTTGGACACCCAGCTGCTGCTCCTCTGCAGGTCTGCCTTCACTGGAGAGCGCCTCGGGCTGCACTGCCTAACAATGTCACACACACAGTCAATGAGCACCTCAGGGAGATTTTCACAAGACACTGTCCACTTTGTCTAATCTGCAATGTGTGGGAGGAAGGAAGGACATATTCCTACAAAAATAAGCAAGGGCCAGTGAGTAGGATGTGCTCTAAATGTAAAAGAAGGTTAATCGAAGCTTTGATCCATTTTTTGTTGTTTCACCCTCTACTTGTATGAGGAGCTGTGTGTTACAAATGACTCTTCTCATTCTCATTTTGACAATGTGTTTCGGTAGGACCATAGACAACACCTTCAGTGAATGTGAAACAATACAGTCATTACCATTAAACAGATCCATGGGAGCCCTTGATACGTAAACACTGGATAAATCTAACAGGCAAGTGTGTTTCTTTAATACACTGCAAAATAAAGACAATCCAATTTCCTATGTGTTGAAGCACTTTGTCACAGAGGAACACTGACGCACATATAGAGCTGTACAATCGT